TCCCAGACTGGTCCTCATAAAGGTTGTAGGAATTATTTGTAAAGATTCCCTTTGTAAAGACTAACAGCAAATTCATGAATGTGTAGTTTCATTTTAATACTGATTTTAAATAAAAGACTAGGAAGAGGTTCCATTTGAAAGAGAAAAAGTGGGGAGAGAAGACGCTATAGCTTAATGCCAATTGCTAAAAATGACAGTGTGTAGCCTAATTTTACTAACTATAAATATAATTGCATCAAACTGTCCTTTCCATATTCAATTTGTGAGACATAGATTTTCCTGGATGTGAACATCATGTAGAATGGTGATTGACTATGGCTTGCTTCTTCCCAGAGTTGGGCTCCTGAAGTGTCCCTGAAAACAGGCAATGTTCTTTCCCAGCTGCAGTCCTGTTTCTGCAGGAGCCAGATACAGGCTGAGTACACAGTTGTTCAGCTGACCTTGAGAAACTGGCTTGGGACTGGAGAGATGGTTCAGTGATTAAGGATGCTGACTGCTCTTGCAGAGGACTCAAGTGTGGTTCCCAGCACCCATATGGCAGCTAATAACTGTCCATAACGCCAGTGTCAGAGTATCCGGCACCCTCTCACAACACAGGTGCACTTGCATACATGCAGACAATACACTAGCACATATAAAATTAAATAAATATTTAAAAATGAGACACAGGCTGTCTACGGTCCCACCTCCCTCCCTTTTTCCTTTTCTGCCACCTCTTTCTTTCTATTGCTTTCTCTCTGTTTCTGTTTCTCTCCCTCCATCCTTTCTTTTTTCAGTTTTTTTTAAATCAACATTTATCTATTTAAAAAGAGAGTGTCTTGGGCTTCAACAGAAAATAAAAGCAGGATATGCAGATGTTCCATGCTCTAGGACAGCCTTGCAGTGGGGCAGAAGAGTAGCCTGGGGACTGTAACCTGATAACCCAGGCCTTAGCCACATGGGCTTCCTGGAGTTCTGTTGCTTCACCCAAGTCTGAGCTCAGCTTTTCTTCTCTTCCTTCTCTTCCCTATGATATGCATTGCTGTTTTGTACAATAATATCCTGATAAAGCTAGGGAACTATAGACAGGGTTTATGAAGCATACTAGAAATTCCTGATAAACAAGCTCTCTATTCCATATCAACTACCCATTTAAAATTAATTTTAAAAAAGTAGCCATCCTTCCAAATTCCCATCCAGAAAGAAGTAGTGTGTACCATTTAAAACCACTTGTTCTTGCTGCCATTCATCACCTCCAGTGTTCACTATCCATGCATGCTGATTATTGAAAAATGTGTTGTACCCACCTAAAGGCACACAGGGTACAACAGGTGTATACCTCAGCTCATCCGAGCAATTCTCCTAAGTGTTTCTGGCTACCCAGAGCAGCTATGGACATCAATCTTACCTACAACATAGACCAGAGAAAGACTGGAGGCTATCTTGTCACAGGTAAAAGAATAGATGCATTTTAAAAACTGGTCAATTTTTTTTGAGATTCTTTTTTTTTTAAATTTTCATTTGTATGTGCAAGCATGGTGTGTGTGTGTGTGTGTGTGTGTGTGTGTGTGTATAGATACCCTTGGAGGATGTAAGAAGGGGTTGGATCACCTGCAACTAAAATTACAGTTACAGTCAGCTTCCCAATGAAGGTGCTGGAAGAATAGGAAGAACAGGAAGCTCTCTTAACCACTGAGCCAGCCACTCATTTATTTTTTGTACCAAATCCTGAATTTGGAAAAAAAGTATTATTAAATTTCAGGTAAAAATGCTAGGGGGAAGACAAGGGAAAAAAAAAACCCAAGAGTGACCATTCTTCATTAAGAGAATGAGGGTATCATACAGAAGGTCAGGAGGGAACAGTCTTCAGCAGCACATGACTGGCCGGAAGAAACATCCAGAGAGCTGCATTAAACTGATTAACTTTGAGCAGTGTGTAGAAGACCATGCCATTCAGGAAACAAGATGAAAGGAACAATGACAAATAGGCCCATTTGTCAAAGTTAGGGAAACTTCGCATTAGGTTTACAGGAGACCTAAGTGCAGGAGCAGGTCTTCAATCCACAGTGGAATCCAGGGAAGAAAGTATAGACAGTAACCGAAACAGAGTCCAAGGGAGAAGAGCGAAGAAGAACAATGAGAGAAGAGGCCAGACAGGGTGCCAGAGAAGAGAGTTCTGAGTCAAGAATAATCTGTGTAATAGAGAAATGAACACAACAACTAGACCTGAAACTTAAAGCTGTGAACAGTAAAAGGACTATAGATGAAGTTTAATAAAGGGGTCCTGTCCAAGGACCATTATCTAGCAGACTCTTGATCTCTACACTTTGGCTATTTGTGACCTTTTGTGTTCCTGGCCCCTCTGCTACATGAGGAGCTTCATTATTGAGAACTGATTCCTTAGTGTCCTCTTCTTTATCCCTGTTCTATGTTCCATGAGCCTTAGGTGTAGAGTTTGCATTGCAGATGTGTCCCTTAGTCTTGGGCAATTCATAGACAATGTCTGTGTGTGACCAGTTGTGATATTTGGTATTAGTCTCTGACTGATGCAAAACGAGCTTCTTTGATGACTGGTGACTGGGATATTTGTCTGTAAATATAACGATACATACTTTGCACATAGTAAGAAATCACATTAGTCTAGCGATGTGATAGTTTTGAAGTTTTCTCTAAGATCTATGACCACTTTGGCCTTGTGTATTAGGTTATGTTACAGTATCGCCTTTGAGTGGGCTTCTAGTCGAATCAGGTAGCTGTTGATTGCCCAAAGACAAAAATGCCACTACTGCATGAATGGAGTAGGCTGTGCTGGCCATTGATGTGGTTCTTTGGTCTTGAAGCTGGTACTGGATCATCCTTTGATATTTTCCCTTGGTAATTTCCTAGCGTTCTCCAAAGCTATGAGAGCTCACCTTCAGAGGAAGTGGCTTCCAGGTCAGCTGCAGCTCTATTTCTTCATCCACCCCAGTCTCAGGGACCATCAAGGAAGAGGGAGCAGAGAGATAGTAAGAGCCAGGGAGGATAGACATGACCATATGGAAACAGAGTCCTACAAGCTCCTGGGAACCTGCTCATATGATTCTATGGCAATGGTATCAGCATACAGCATACACAAGTCCCACGCAAACTCAGGCAGACAGTAACCCAGATAAAACTGGGAAAATGAACAGCAGACCTCAATCTTATCTAAAGGAATGTTGGCAACTGATTGCTGCTAGACAAGGAAGAGCTGATCTTCCTAAAACAAGGGACTCTATACAGGCTGACTAGACTCAGCACGTGGACTTGCACTGGGGAATGGCTGGGGGCACTGACAATACAGTGGACAGTAACAGGGATGACAGAGCATATGGGCTCCTGTGGTGGGGTGTCTATGAGAGGGCACCATTTGAGACGTGTGTATAAAGATAAATGAGGTTGTTTGGGATGTTCTGTACGAAATTCACACCAAAAAAAAACCAATCAATTAAAAAAGGTCTATAGAGATTCTAATGTGGTGAGAGAAGAAATGGGTAAAGTTACCCAAATGAAGACAGAACTAATCAAACTCCTGAAGCTCAAGAAAATGTCTTTCACACACACAAGGAGAAAGAAAGAGAAAGAGAGATCAAGTTCTTATAAATAAATTATATTGATCAAGCAACCTTATCTTCTATTCTGCTTAAATTTTTAGAAGCCAGGTCTCTAATCCCAATTGGGGATTAGTTGCTATGTAACTAAATAAAATCAAAGAAATAGTTAAAGATGTGGAACTTTCAAGAGGGTAAGAATATAATTAAGAATATTACACTGGGTGTCTTTGAGACCCCTCCCTGCTGCAGTTAGCTGCTAGTCTACCTCTAAGAAATCTTTGCTTGCTTGCCCTTCAATAAATAAATAAATAAATAAATAAATAAATAAATAAGGGGCTGGGGAGATGGCTCAGCAGTTAAGAGTACTGACTGCTCTTGCAGAAGACTGGGGTTTGATTCCCAGGACCCACATGGGAGCTATGAATCTTCCATAACCCCAGTTCCAAGGAAATCCAAAGCCCTCTTCTGACCTATGTGCATTGAATGACACAGATGCACTCACATACATGCAGGTATAACACTCATACACATAAAATAAAAATAATAAAGAAAATATTAAATAAATAAATAAATAAATAAATAAAGCCAGAGTTGGTGGGCACAAATCTTTAATTCCAGTGCTCTGGTGGCAGAGGCAGGCAGATTTCTGTTAGGTCCAAGCCAGCAGGGTCTAAATAGAAAGTTCCAAGGCCAGCTGGAGCTTTGGGGAGACCCTGACTCAAAAACCAAACCAAACAAAATAAGAAACCAATTAACGAAATAAAAAAATAAGAATATGGCATCTGTGAGTTTATTTGAACATGAATTTTAAAGTACAGTAATGTACTACACAGGGCTTGGGTTTGCCCACCTAATAAAATTTCCTCAGTCATGCATAGGTACAATATTTTCAAGGATCAAAATTAATAGTTTCAGAATTAGAAAGCTGTGAGTCCTTCAGATAGATGGCAAGAGCATAGCAAATATTTGATCATGTCATATGAACAATATTTCACATGCAAGCCCTAGAGCAAGTTGTAGAAAACTGATAGGGGTTAGGAGATGAATCACGTTAGGCCAAATGTAGAACACTGAGTAAAATCAAAGATGCTGTTTAACAACGCTGCAGGTTCTATTCAAGCATCCAGATTAGACTGCAAACACTGCCACTGTACGCAGCACCACTCCACGGCTTCTACTATGCAAAGGACTCCTAAGCCCAGCTTCTGCTGTTGCTCTTCAGCTCTGGCACAGTGCCAGAGAGATCTCACACGCAAAGACCCATTGGGCTTGGTGACAAGAACTGCTGTGCTGAGCCCTCTCACCAGCACAGGGCGAATCTTTCTTGCTTGCGTTTCATTAAAAGTGCTGTGGTTTATCTTCCTCCTCTTCTGTTTCCTTCCATGTAGCTGCAGAGACCAGCTTTCCCACCATGTTGTTTTTTTAGCTCTGTAACTCAATATATTGTCTTTAAGATCACTTCTGAGTCCGATTTCGCATTCTTTTAACAACTAAACCAAGAATTTGCTACCAAGGGAAAAAAAAAGATTAAAATGGAATAGAGAGAGAAGAAAAAATAAAGACAAAATCTATTACAGAAACTGTACAAAATGTCCCTGAAAGTTTAACAAAATAAAATGAACATACATTACACATTAATAGGTAAAAATTAAAATTTTGATTACAATCATTGATTTCAGATAAAGCAGAAGTAAAGGAAAATGATTTCAATGAAAAACAAAATCACTAATCAGACCAACAAAAAATGTCAACAAATTTAAAACAGTAATGGGTTAAACCATTTTTCAAGGGTGTGCTCACTATTAACATTTATAAAACAAAAATGTATATTAAATACATTATTATATATTCATATCCATGATTTTTGATTCATCAGGACAAAATTATAATTATAAGGCGTCTGCTTTTGACAGAATTAGCATCTGTTATGACTAATTTACATAGGTAAACTATTTAAGGAATATAATTTGAACATTCACATATATGAGATTCTAAAAATACATACAAAAAATTGCATGTAGAATTTATAAAACAAAATGTATTTCAGTTCTTCACTGAGGAAAAAAGTACAGATCATATTGAGGAACACAAAGAGACACACTCTATATTTTTAAAGTAGAATCGATATGACTATATTAATTACCATAAATTCACTAAAATTTGAAGTAGTGTCACCACAGGATCACCATTATATTACCACCACTATCATACCTCTATTAATATTCTAAAATAGATGGCTCAGTCATTAAGGGTACTGGTTGCTCTTGCAGAGGACCTGGGTTTGATTTCCAGCACCCATATGGTGGTTAACAACTGTCTATAACTCCAGATCCAAAGGAATCCGACATTTTCTTCTGACCTCCATGGGCACTGCAGGACCCAGATGCACTTATATACATGCAAGCAATACACTCATATACATAAAATAAAAATATAAAAAGAAAGAAATCTAATTATATGAAAGACAATTTCAAATTCAACCCAAAAGAAAATACATAATATAAATATATTCAAAGGAGAATAAAAATTTAAAAATAATTCTTAGACTTGAATTTAATAAAAGTATACCAAAACAAACAATATGCATATTTTGAAATATATATTAAATATTAAATCAAAATATAGTGAGTTACAAATATAAATAAAGCAAGCATGATTTATAAACCCATTTTTTCATTCTTGAAATGAAATTTTTGAACTTCTAAAGTTCATTAACACACACACCCCATGATCTAAAAGGTATTATAAATGTGATTTTAAAAACAGAATAAGTGAAACTTAAAGTAGAAAAGCACATAAAGAAAATTTTCCTTGATACAGAGAATTCTGGGTGAGCTCACTGATTGTGCTTCATTAAAATTAACGTGTACTGGGTAAATGAGTCTTAAATTACCTTTAATACTGGTTCATGGGTCAATCCTTGCAAAGCAAACTTCTTTAAAAATTATTTTAACTGTCCACTCCATGCTTCATAATCAGAAAATTTTATTAGTGAATAAAAAATCTTGTAAAAGAGGCTCAGGATATATAAAAGCATAGAAAAAAGTGACTTCCTTTGCAGTTAGTCATATATTACCAAATATAAGTCTTAAACTAAGTTGATATAGTTAATGCAATTTAAAAAAATCAGTATCTCATGAAAATAATTTAAAAAATATCAACTGAGAGAGCAAAATTAAATACCCTATTTATAAGAAGTCATCTGCTCCTTCAATTTGAGATTTAAATTAGGCATGCAAAAATAATTTAATACTAAGACACATATATTAATAAAAGACAACTATGATGACTGACCTTGGTTACCAACTTGACACCTGGGATGAGGGAACTTCAAATGAAGAATTTTCTCTATAAGATTGGCCTGTGGTCATGTATATGAGGCATTTTCCTGTTTACTAATTGGTGTAGGAGGGTCCAACTCATTGTGGGCAGTACCATCATCTGACCTGTGGGGCTGAGCTGCATAACAAAGGTAAACTGGGGGCTGGAGAGATGACTCCGAAGTTAAGGGCACTGGCTGTTCTTGCAGAGGCTCTGGGTTCAATTCCCAGCACCACATAGCAGCTAACAACCACCTGTAATTCTTGTTACCAGGGAATCGAATACTTTCTTCTGACTTTGGGCATTGCATGACATGGATGCACTTACACGCACGCAGGTAATACACCCTTACACACATTCAAGGAGTGTACTCATACACAGAAAATAAAAATAGTAAATAAAATATTTTTTAAAAAATAGAAAGGTTGGGCCGGGCTTGGTGGTGCACGCCTTTAATCCCAGCACTCGGGAGGCAGAGGCAGGTGGATCTCTGTGAGTTCAAGGCCAGCCTGGTCTACACAGTGAGTTTCAGGACAGCTGGGGCTACAGGGAGACCCTGTCTCAAAAAGACCAGAAAAAGAAAAGGAAAGGTGTCCTGGAAGAACTTGAGCCTGGAAGGGTGCCGGGGAGCAATGTTGCCCCATGGTCTCTGCTTCAGTTCCTCACTTGAGTTCCTCCCCTGACTTTCTTCAGTGATGAATTGTGACCTGGGAGTTCTAAGATGAAATAAACCTTTTCTTCCTCAAGTTGTTTTTGATCTTGCTGTTTATTACAGTAACAGAAAAGTAAACTAGCACCGCAACCCAACAACAAACAAACCAGTTTATTTACATTATACTACATATTCAACTGTCTCAGTCTGAATATTTTTGCCTCTCCAAATTCATATGTTGAAAGCATTAAACCCCAACATAATGCTATTGGAATGTGGGGCCTTGGAAGTGATTGTCATGATACTAGAGCCATCTTGAGTTTGATTATTACCTTTGGATCCCAAGAGAACTGCCTTGCTCTGTTTACTATGAGAAGATGAACATCTTTGAACCAAGACTCTAGCATTCACAACAGTGAATCTACAGGCATTTTTATCTTGAAATTCTATGCTTCTAGAACTGTGAAAAATATATTTCTGTTGCTTATTTTCTGGCTTGTGGTATAGAAGAGCATTTATTTATGATAAAATTTAACAAAGCAATTACAGGATGTGCCATTACCATGATTGAAATCGCTATCTTATGTCATCACTTATTATTATTTTTATTTCATTTGGGCCAGACCATAAGATAGAAATGCACAGTAGCATTTATAATACAAAAGAATAAATAGGAATATCTTTAAACTATAATAGAAAAGAATAAATACTCAGGAATATTTTTTAAAACTATCCTAGTTTGCTTTCTGTTACTGTTTTATTTCATCTGACACCTTACAGTTTATCATCAAGGTAAGGTAAGGCAAGAACTCAAGGCAGAAACCTGAAGGCAGGAACTGAGTCAAGGACCATGGAGGAACACTGCTTACTGGCTCGCTTCAACTGGCTTGCTTAGCTACTTTCCTTATATAGCCCAGGTCTACCTTCCCAGGGATAGCATGGCCCACAGTGGGCTGGGCCCTCCTACATTAATCAGCAGTAAGGAAAATTCCCCACAGACAAGGTCAGGGTCCAATCTGAAGATGGAACTTCTGCAATTAGAATTCTCTCTTCTCAAGTTGGCAATCAAGATTAGCCATCATAAAAACCAATCCTTAAATTATAGTAAATTCTATGTAATTCATATGTGCCATATGAAAATGCCTAAGGAGTTTTGAGTAACTCTACCCCAAAATAAACTTGTATCTTTGTGAAGACAATATAATTGTACAGAAAAACCTTAGCATATGCATCATGAAAATGACAAATGAGCCTTTGAATCTAATTTTGGCCTCTATCTTACAATATAGACTTAATTCTTCATGTCTTCTTGGAAACAAGTTGTTTTAAGTCTAAAATAATTGTATTGTATTGCAATTTTCAACTTGGCTCTAAATACTAGGTGAAGCCAAAACATATATTGTCAATTGTGTATATATATATATACCTTAATAAATATTAGTGGCTATTATTTTGATCTAATGAAACATTCATATTAAGAAGTACATGTTTCTTCAATCACAGACATAGAGAAAATGTACAAAACCAATAAAAATTAGCAATACAGCTTGTGAAATAGCTACTTAACCCTTATCTGAACATTACCTGCAGATAGTGTTGTAAGGGCCCTATACCAAAATTATGAACAAAAATATTTGCATTTTTTAGTCCAATCTTTTAAAAAATATTTTATTCATGGGACTGGAGAGATGGCTTAGCAGTTAAGAACAGTGGTTGTTCTTGCAGAAGACTGGGGTTCAAATCCCAGCACCCACATGGCAGCTAACAACTGTCTGTAACTCCAGTTCCAGGGGATCTGATGGCCTCTTCTGTCCTCCATGGGCATTGCACAAAACAGGTGCATTTACCTACATGCAGTCAGTACATGCATACACATAAAATAAAAATAATAAATAAAATTTAAAAATATTTTATTTGTTATTTTTAATTTTCATGTGCATGAGTATATCGCTTGCATGTATGTAAGTGCACCCATGTCATGCAATGCCTTCAAAGGCCAGAGGAGAGCATCTGATCCCCTAGAACTGGAATTAGGACAGTGGTTAGCTGCCATGTGGGTGCTGGGACTCAAACCTGGGCCCTCTGTAAGAGCAACCAGTGCTCCTTTTTAAAAAATATTTTATTATTTTTACTTTATGTGCATGAGTGTATTGCCAGCATGTATGTGAGTGCACCATGTCATGCAATGCCACAGAGGTCAGAAGAGGGCAACAGATTTCCCTAGAACTGGAGTTAAGAATGGTTCATAACAGCCATGTGGGTACTGGGAATCGAATCTGGGTCCTCTGCAAGAGTAGTCAGTGCTCTTAACCATTGAGCCATCTCTCTAGCCTGCAACCAGTGCTCTTAAGTGCTGAGCCATCTCTCCATCCCCTTTTATTCCAGTCTTAATTCCTAGTATTAACTCTCATACCACACAACACATCACACAAAATCTATCATCTACCTATCATCTATCTATCTATCTATCTATCTATCTATCTATCTATCTATCATCTATCATCTATCTATATCTATCATCTGTCATCTATCT